TCGTAACTTTCTTCTCCCTACCGTAATTTATTCGCGAACGTCTGTCGTCCATTTCTCAAAGAACTCGATGGTAAAATTCCATCACCTTGTTCCACTTGGCAGATGAGGGCCGCGTTTGTGTCTCACCAGCGCCGGAAGCCGTCCGACTTTATTGTGATTCCAGATTGCCCTTCAAAACGACAAAAGGTGTAGCCTGGTCATTATGGCTCATCCTCCATAGTAGGTGACGTGTGGAATCTCCGTAGTGTCGTCACCTATTGCGGAAATGATACAGTCTGGACCCAGGTTCGAGAATGAGTTCTGGAGGCATTCGTTCCAGACTCTGGGTTGGCCATCCACGCGGGCGTCAGAAAATTCGCCGGTCTTCTTCCACTCTCTCTGCTCACAGCAGTCTACCACGTACCCAAGAAAAGGATAAATAATAATTTATATACCTTATCACGATCCGTACAAAGATATATTTTTTGGTATAATTCTAGATCTTGAAATTAATTCACTTAGCCGATGTGGAAGGGACAGCTTCGGTGACGGTGCTCAGAGACTGGCGGAATCTTCTGACCCCCGCGTGGCATCCTGGTTTGGCTGTAGATATCAATCACAGATATCCAGACCGTATCTTCATGGATAATGATGGTGGCCAAAAACGCCCAACAAACTTCGAGAATCAAGTTTGTCAGTAAAGTAGAGGCCAGTTCGCTAGCCTCTAAGATGCGAAAGATCCCAGATCAATAGCAGAAGAACGCCATCGATTGCGCCAAACGCAAAGTAAGATGATATTAATCTTCATGCACAAAGTCACCTCAGGCCTTGCCGAAGTTGTGGTACTAAAATAATCACTGTGGAGTAAATGCGTTCGTCAAGCTGTCTTCTCGTCGGTACACAACTTCATCATTGTATCTTCTGGTTTGACAATTTGACAAGAGCAGTCGAGATCTTCGCCTTCGCCGCTGGTTCGTTGACGACTAGCGCCGTGAACAGCGACGCAACCCGGCCATCCCAAGGGCAGAAAAGGTGCGTGGGTTCAAAGCTCGACTGGCCAGACTTGTAGGCCGTCGCGGAAGCAAGCGAGACAAGGGTCCCCGCCAAAATAACACCGCCGAGCCTGTGCACTGACGACTGCAATACAACACCATCCTGCTAGATCGACCCTTCGGGAAGAGACTGGGTTCGCACTACTATATAGACCGACCCAAGCCCGCGGTAGAGCAGATGGCAGTTTCCAACTTCGCGACCAGACAGTACGCTTCTGAAGCTTTCGTCGAAAGCTGCGGCGCAATCCTCTTCGACGTTTCCAAGGACCCAATAGAGGTCTGCCTGCTCCGTCACCTGACTACACACGAATGGCTTCTGGCCAAGGGGAGACGCAATTGCGGCGAGTCGAGGCACGAAGCTGCCTTGCGGGAGGTGCAGGAGGAGACGGGCTTCCGCTGCCGACTTCTGCCTTTGGACATGGCCACGCGGGCACCGGCGGCTGATGACATTGCGAATGCCCCAGATCAAGCAGCCGCGCGTCGAGGAATTACGGAGCCGTTTATGCTGACGATGCGAGACATTGACGGAGGGGCCGAGGTGAAATTCATCTGGTGGTATGTTGCTACTCTCGAGAGGGGAGCAGTGGAAGAGGCGGCCGGCGGGGAGACGCAGTTTAGTTCGGGTTTCTTTAGTTTCGATGAAGCTGTTCGGAAGCTGAGCTTTGAGACCGACCGCCAAGTTCTGAGGAAGGCCATGCAACTAGTTAAACAAACGTCTCTTCGGTTGTAGGCAATCGAAGTGGCCATCAAACCTCTCATGCTCATATCCCCGCATGAAGATGCATTTCTCAATTCGGCATGGCCTTCGCAACACACGCAGGCAATATCCACCCTTCTTCAATGGCGCTATTTTCCAGGTAGGGGTTACATAAGCGGTCCTGTCAGCTTTGGGCCAATGGCAACGCTTCATGATAGGACAACGTGGCTGGGGGCCTGGGGCTGTCGTCACCCTTCCCCCAGCACGGATAAGGCTCAGGCTCGAGCTGATAAGGCCAGGTGGTGCTGGTGCAGCTGGGGGTTGCGCATACCTTAGGTACCTCACTGCCCGCGCAGCGTAGGAGCTGAATCTGGATACTGGCTGCCAAGAGGGACCTCGAGCTTCGTAGCCTTTCATACTTCAACTCCGAAATAACTTCATCTCGACTGTTCGATTCAGTCGCTGGATACTTCTTACCTCATCACCAAGCTTCGTTTCAACGGATCTGGACTCTCCATCGGAGCTTCATCCGATTCTACTCACTCTCGCCGCGGGCAGCTCGCCGCCTCGTGTGATGTGAAACGGAGCTGCCGTTCCCTTCCCGTCCATTCTTGTTTGCGTGTCGCAATCGCAATCCCCGAGTCCTCCCACCAACCCATCACAACCCCTCTATATACCGGAATCGGCTGGAAGCTCGAATTCCTATCCGGCAACATGACTGCGTGGAACGTACGTGCCGCGTCGAACTCGCAACGCGATTCCCGAGGCTGTCCGCTAACTAGTTGCCCAGGTATTCCGTTTCATGGGAGACATCTCCCACCTCCTCTCGAAATGCATCCTGATGATCGCGATACATCGCAACAGAAGTGCTGAAGGTACGCTACTCGGGCTTCCATAGGAATCACCCTCACTGACAGAGTGTCTGCGCAGGTGTCTCCCTCATCACCCAGGGCCTATACGCCCTGGTCTTCTGCACGCGCTACCTCGACATCTTCTCCGAACAGTCAGCATGGAACTTCATCTTCAAGATATTCTACATCTCGTCATCCTTCTACATCATCGGAGCTATGCAGTGGATCTTCCCCCGCACCAGAGAGCGCGAGCTCTCGTGGAAGGTCGGCGCCGGCGTCTTCGGCGTCTCGCTTATCTTGTCTCCCTTTGCCATGCTCATCTTCGAGAGCTACTGGAGCTTCCGAGTCGTAAGTTTCGACCTTGCACGAAATCCGGTCATGTAAGCCACGCAGATGTTAACGTATATCAATAGTGGCTTTGGGACTTTTCCCAGATCCTCGAGTCCATCTGCGTTCTGCCTCAGCTGCTCTTGCTTCGACAGACGACCGTCCCGACCGTCATCGACTCGTTTTACCTCGTCACACTGGGCTCATACCGTGGGTTATACCTAATCGGCTGGATTACGCGCGAACTCGATATCAATGACAAGGCGCCAAACACGGTCTCGGTCATCTTCGGCATCATTCAGACGGCCCTGTACGTCGACTTCGCCTGGGTATACTACACTCGCCAGCGAGTCAAGCTCCGCAACGGCGGCATTGTGGATGCCGACGACCTGCGCCGAGGCTGGTTGCTCAACAGAATCTTTGGAAAGCGTATCGACGCCCACTCTGACGACGAGGAGAGTGCTCCAGCTCTTGGCGACGATGACGGACAGGGCCGCCGTGGTGGCCGGCCCAAATGGGGCGCTCGTGGCATCTCTGTCAGTGCAGATGAAGGTGTTCTGGACACCGACAGAGACAATCAGCGTCGGGATGAGGAACTCGAGGAGGGCATCATTGACCCCGATGCCAAGTTGCAGGATCCCGATGAGCTCGCCCGTGTGCTGGATGACGATGATGACGACGATACGAACAAGGCGTCTGGAAGCAATGGCACACCCGCCGGGATTGACAACGGTTCTGAGTGGCGCAACTAGCCCTCGAGTCACATTCTTATCCCGTTGCTTGCGCCTGGTGGCTTGAACATCTACACTCCTCGAAGAGATGCGTCCTACGAGAGGTGGAATTTCAAGGCTCCATACCCTTACGCCTAGAAGGAAATTGACTAGCGCTAAGTGGACACGAGAGAACGGGTACAAGAGACCTCATACTAGTCGAAGTGTTTATAGTAAACAGTGTATGAGGCCACATAGACGGTTTTGAAAGCGGAGTTTTGGACATGATTCTCTAGTGAGGATATAAAATTGTTGTGTGTTTTACGAGAGAATCAATACGGAGGACTTTCATGATATATGAGTTCTGTTGATCACATCTTGTACTGGCAGCATTATCTGTAGTTTGCGCGTGGGACCTGCGCGTGCATTTGCGACATTCCAGACTCAGTCGTCCATATTGTTGGATCCTACTCTTGTGTTTCTCATACTGTGTCCATTTCGTGGACAGACACACTCTCTCGTCAAGCCGCTGCTGATACAAATCAGAGCCGCGCCTAGTTGGCCTGACATCGCGGACCCAGGAAGGATCCCCTCGTAATGTCCTCCTCCCATATCATTGCCTCCTCCAAATTTCGCTCAAATACACCCAAACACAACGCTTCGCCCAGATCATTGCCGCGCGCTGTATCGAACCCAAAAACAAGTCCTCCCTCAGAACAATCATTGCACAAGCGCCCAAAAGGCCAATGTTTCCAACGTAGACACCAAAAAAATAGTATTGGTGGTCCCCGGGTTAGCAACTAAAGGCGGGTGTGAAGTGGGATGAGAATACTCCAGATCGCTTCGAAATAAAAAAATAAAAATAGAATCTCTCATTTCCCCATTAACACGAGAAGAAATGCTGGCCCCGTCCGGGAAAAAAAATAATCGAAAGATTGGTCGCGTACGGGGAGTTGTTTTTAACGAGCCGTCGCCGTCGCAGCCGCCGTCGTAGTCGCGTTGGTAGTAACGTCGTCAATATTGCCGCCAAACGTCCGAATCTGCTCCACGCTCGTCAAGCCGGCCCATGCGCCCGAGAGCACGGCACTGTCGACGTCGAAGCCGCCCGACGCAGCAGTTTTGTTGATGCCGGTGGCGTTTTGCAGGTGGCAGAACTGGGCGGTGCCCTTGACGAGCGCGACGCCGACGCAGATGCCGCCGCCGTCGAGGAAGACGTCGTCGCCGACGGCGTCGCTGTACCCCTGATTGTACTGGGCGCAGAGCGTCATGCAGGTCAGCATGTCCGGGACGGTCATGACGAGGATGTCGCGGAGGAACGTGTTGATACCCTGGCGCATTGGGTAGTAGGTGTTGCAGAGAACGTCAAAGGACATGACCTCGTCGTTGTTGAAGCGGATGGGGGAGCCGGAGGCGTCGTAGGGGGTTACCGTCGTGTTCACGCCGGGGGTCGGCTGCGGGCAGTACGGGTTGATCGGGGCCGGGGAGGGGACGCCGAGGAGCTGGATTACAGCTTTTGGTTTGTTGTCGTCGTCGCCGGAGGGGCTGGGTTGCGAGGAGGGGGCGCTTTCCGTCAGCCTTCGAGGCTGTAATGACGAAGACGGAGGAGGAGGAGGAGGAGGAGGAGAGAGAAAAAAAAGAGTTGGAAGGAGGAAGGGCTAAGGTAGAGGATGGCTCATTCGTCAGACATACCGGTTAGCCAAACCCAACGCCAGACCCACGGCGATGGCGACGCCGACGATGATGACTCCCAGTGCGACCGCGGCCCAGAACCGCAGCACGGTCAGGCCCAAGATTGTCTTTCTTGGTTGCTGCTGTGGCCCCCTCCCGCCAATGCCCTCAAACCTGCGTCTCCATCCCGCCAGGGTGCCCTGCTGCCGTTCGAGGTCGGCCGGCGCCAGAGCCGGCGGCGGGACGCGGTGGTGGTGGCGGTGGCTTTGTCCTCGTGCGGGCACCGGCACCGGCGCGACGACGGGCGCCTCCGAGCTGATTCTCGACTCTGGGTACGGTGGCGAGGCGTCTGGTATGTCGTCCCCTCGGAGGTGGGCACCCGGAGGGTACGATGTAAAGGATTCGATTTGCTGTATCCTAGGCGAGGAATCTATCGGCGATTGAGCGTCGTGACTTGGCGGCGGTGGTGGTGATTGTGATTGTTGGTGTCGTTGTGATGGTACCGAGTTCGGGTCGACGGTCACGGTCCCGGGTTGACGCCGCTCGTGGATCGGGATGATAAACTTATGTTTCTCCTCCTCCATCTTGACATCGCAGGCCCGCCGCGCGGCGGGCGGCGGGGATTTGGTCGGAAAATTTGGGGGGGGATTCACGTGGAAGCCGTCCCTTTGAAACCGTCCTCTTTTTGGTTTCCTCTAGGCGTCTTCTTTTCTTTGTTTGTGGTGTTTTTTCCCGTCCGACCACAAAAGGCACCTCACAGCTGCTGTTGCTACATGCAGGGGCCCGCGTGTAGGATTCTAGGTACCTCCGTCTCTGCAGGTCCTCCCCTTCTTCGTATCCCCAGGCAGCGTTGGGGAGTGTGAAGTAGGGTGTAGGAGCTATGGTAGTGTAGAGAGATTGTCAATTCTCAATCAGCGGTTACGGAGTATAAGGTGGCCAGAAATTGAAGTGATAAGGATAAGCCTGGATTAGATGAGGCAGCGGGAAAATGGGAAAACAGAATTGGGAAACGGCAAGCAGTATAGACACGCGGGGGCTAGGAATAGAGGACCAGCAGTCTCTCGCAGGCGTAAAAGTAGCAGCCGGGTTCCCTGAAGGCAATGAATCCGACCAAAAAAAAAAGGGGAGGGGGGAGGGGTGCAACGTGTAGATGGTGCGCTGTTGTTGGTCGGCTTTCACCCTTCCCTTTCCCAGGGTCGTGGAGTCTTCAAACAAGCTCGTCCTTCCTTCCCAAGGCTTGCTCCCAGATATAAACGCTCCAATGAAGATTGCTTCCTCGATCTGCCTCGTGCGCTCGGAAATCTGCTTCTGCTTCGATTGCAGATGGGGATGTGGAGGGGGATATGGAGGGAGTGAGGGAGTTGGTTGACCAGCCGGGATGAAGGCCTCGGGCGTTCCCCGGACAGGGGCGGGCGAGCAGCGGGCGCTTGTCCTCAACTCTCGAGTCTCACGCCTCCCTCTCTCTGAGGCTCTGAGCCTCCGAGTCTCTCCCAGTCTCTCAGGCGCAAAATCTACTTCTCGAGCCGAGCCTGGAGCCTGGGGGACCCGGAGCCTGTCACCGACAGCATGTTTCCCGCACCGCAAAAAGGTCGAATTTTAAGATGTGGCTGTAGCCGATACAATAGTGGAACCAGTGACATGGATGACCATGGAACGGGGAAAAGGTCGGACAGAAAAGCTTCCCCTGATGGCACACTTCAAAATATAAACCTTGGGAAAACCGAACTACGTCGTATTCCCGCTGCAAGCTTCACGGCTGCTCTTCGGACGATTGTATCCGTAAACACATAGAGATTGACGACTTCTTGCGGTCCTACATCGGTAAGAAGAGCAGAAAAGATATGGAGAGAAGAGGAATAAGAGGGAAGAAAAGTACGAATAGCAAAAGCAGCAATGATGCCTACACTAGCAGACACTACTTGGCAAAGGCTCACGCCCAACCGAAAGGCCTGCTTCCTTGGATCCTTCTTTCGGCAATTGGAACCGATGGACCGTTTACATACAATGGTACGCTGCGAGTCTGGGAGTCTTGCTGCAGGGGGTTGCGATAGCGATGACCCCCGTCGGATGCAATCGATCACCCTCCCGTTTTGCGTGAAAAGGGGAGTTCGTCCGGGCTCCCACTCGGGGGAAATGTGGAGATCGTCTCCAGTCCCCACGCCCTCTTTTCGGTCCGCTGACGCTCACACGCTGTTGAGAATCCAACGGGGGGTTGCACTTGCTGCTCTGGGTTGCTCGCGCCGTTTGGTGTCAGGCCTTGGACGTGAATCATTTGGAGTCAAAGGACAACGACTATTCATTCAGTCGTCTCAATCCTCGAGAGAGAAAAGCTGCTCGAGATTCCGCACCCGCAGACTCTTCATGTTCGTGCTGCCTGCGGCTGAAGAGGTGGTATCCGGCAGACGCTGATCGATTACTTCTAGTAGGTAGGGCATGGGTGGGATGCAAGATGAGACAGCTTGTTTGTAAGCGAAGCCAAAGACGGAAAAAAAGGAAAAGGAAAAATACTGCGTCAAGAGGACCCGTCCAAAAGAGAAGGGGAAAACAAAAACAAGAGGCCACAGGACTTATCCGTAATGTTGGCCAAAACCCGGAGCAGCCGACCCTCGGGATGCAACTGGAAAGTGGCCTGTCATCTCGGGGTCATTGTGGACTTTTTCTCTTGACGTCGTGGTAGGGCCGACCTCTATTCTCCACGGGGCAGACGGGGCGGAGCCTGGAGGAGGAGAAAGCGGATTATCCCGCCACGAGGTCGCAAGAGCTTTTTCGTTTTTCCCCTTTGCCCCGGTCCAGACTCCCGGGGGAAGATGTTGTTGTGGATTCTGGAATGATTTTTTCTGGCGACTCTCGCCATTTTCTCGCGAAATGAATCCCGAGGATGCGGGTCACGTGCCGGCAGAAAGCTGCCAAGATGGGGACGGGTGCCGGACAATGAGGCGCCCAAGACCTAAGGCCATCGGCCGAAACTGGACTGAACTGATTGTGACAGAGGTTAACTTGACGACACTTGCATGCAAGGAAACACCGAGCTTGGTAACCCGTTTAATACGTGTTCAATGTTTATGGGTTTCCTTAGGGTTTTGCCGCAACACTCGTGTGCAACAGTTGTGTTACAGGAAACATAAAATCCTAATCAGCAGCTTGGCTCGTTGAACTTCCAGCGATTCTGCTGAGGACTATACCTGGATTTGAAGCATCGAGCTAACTTGCGTCTCCATGGGAGTTCTGATCAAGTGTTTCTAGGTATACACATGGTGAAGAGTGGCACGAAAGAGACTAGAATTACAGCTTCTCGGATAATGTAAACACTAATTGACTGAGCAAGCCTTTCCCGTATTCTTCTTTTCTCGAACGCAGATGTTTATAATGAATATAACCTGAGCTTGTATTTTTTATCTTGAGTCGGTAGATAATGTGCCGCGGTCATGCCAACGTCAGTCTAAATGACCTTCTTATCAGTTGCTAACTGCCCTCCCGCCGTAGCCCAGCCATCTCCAAACTCAACGCCCACAACCGATTCTCTTCCTCTCGATCCCAAGCCCATGAAGCATACCCTTCACCCGCCCACCCCAAATTCTCCTCCGTCTCCCCCTTGACCTCGCAATCCTCCAGATAGAACGGCCCCCGCCCCTCAAACTCCCGCCCCAACGCAGCCAACACAGTAGTGGCAGCACACTGCGCGGGACTCTTGACCGTCCTCCATGCCGCCTCGTCCGCTCTCAACGCCTCCATCTGCTCCCTCACCCCAACTTGCAACCCCGTCACCGCCGTGCCCGGATGGACGCTGTATCCGCGGACCGCACCCCCCAAACGATGGTCCACACCGTTCGCCATGAGGATGTTGGCCGTCTTGGACTGCCCGTAGGCTTTGTACCCCTCGTAGGCACCGGGACGAGAAAAGTTGACGTCGGTCCAGTTCATGCCCTGGAGCCGGTGTCCCGAGGACGTGACGTTGACGACCCTCGCCGCGGACCCGGGCGCCGATGACGCGGCCATCAGATCCCGCAGCTCGATGAAGAGTACAAAGTGCGCGAGGTGATTGACGCCAAATTGCATCTCGAACCCGTCCTCCGTCCAGCTTCCCTCGGGCGTATACATGACACCGGCATTATTGATCAAAACATCCAACCGATCGCTACGCCTCTTGAACTCCGCCGCCGCCGACCGCACGCTCGCGAGACTGGCGAGGTCCATCTCGAGGAGCCGCACGTTCGGGGCCGAGGCGAGGTCGCCCCCGTCTTCGTCCCCATCTAGAGCGGCCCGGGCCTTGGAGAGATCTCGCGCGGTACCGTAGACGGTGGCGCCGGTCGCCGCGAGTGCTTTGAGCGTCTCGATACCTAGGCCCGAGGAGACACCTGTCACGAGGGCGACTTTGGACGGGAGTTTGCGGACGAGGTCTTGGTCTTTGACGATTTGGAGGGCCGTTGGGCGGGAGTCGCCTGGTCCGGCGAGGTTTTCGTACGTGTGGAGTTTGGTGTAGCGGCCGGGAGGAGGAGAATGAGACATGGTCAACGTCAAGGCAAGAAACCAGGATGGAAATTCGTGTCCAAGTGTAAATGAAATCAGGTGGCTTTGGAAAGATTGAAAGTACCAAGGGCTACTTTTGGATGAAGAAGATTCTACAAAGTTGCTTCCAGTCGTCTTCAAGCTGGCTCGGTATATATAATCATGTCTGCCACCTCGGGCGACGCTCTGAAGGAAGCTCTCACAGCTATAAACAGTCAGTTTTCCACCTCAAGACCGGTTGTCTAGTACGCAGGCGTGTCTAGGGCCGACGAGATAGCACGCTGCCATTGCACGAGTGGCAACAACATAGACATGATGTCTGACGAACCGAACACTTTATGTTAATCGACGTTGGCCATGCAAGGTGACCGGCGCCTTCGGGAATCCGCAGCTGATCCCCGAGATGGATGGTGGGCCTTGCATTAAGTCCGGAGTCGGACCTTACGTCACGGAACGGAATGTGCCTGCTTCTCCCCGCCGCACAAATATGGACCACCCGGCACCGGATGGCGGGGACGTGTACGGAGGCATCGCATGTGTTGAAGTTAGAAGAAAGCCAAACCGATGGGAGCTCGGGCCAAAGGGGCGCGCATGAACAACAGCCTGCCACCACCCACACGACGTCGCAGCGGCCTGGGCTTCTTTAGATGACAGCAAGGCACCCTTGCCGCCCGAGGGCTATCTACCCCGCGGATATGTTACAGCTCTCCAGAATACTACCCGAGGTCTAGTATGCACATCATTCATGCGAGGATTCCTCTTCAGACCACCTCCGAATTGCCTTACTCGGAATCCGATTTGAGATGAAATGAAGGAGGTAGGGTGGCAAGAGGCCGCGGAAGTAGCTCAAACCTGGGGTATATTTCGTAAGACTAGCCTAGAGTTACGCTTAATGTGTTGGCTGGCTGGTGTTACTTGTAGCTGTCCACCTATGTTCACTCCGGACTTCCGAGTGAGAGACACGCACTGCACACACGTAAGATATATAGAATGAAATATTTGTACATTGATAAAATACTTGTGATAACTGTTGACATCCAACTTGCACATTGTTTGGGCTGCATCCGCCCGGGGTTTGTTCCCGTCCCTCCGACCTGCCCGTTTTAAGCCATGGGTCTTTCTGGCCAGCCCGAGGTATCTTTACCAAGTATAACTCCTGTAGATATAACAAAGCTGAATTGAAATCAATGAACGAAGCGCTTCTCGAACTCGTCGAAGAGCAAGGGACTGATTTCGTCGCTGCTCATCCCCTCGACCTCCCAGAGAACGCCCTTCTTGTCGTAGTGTTCGAGTAGAGGCTCGCTGGTCTCCTGGAACTTGCGGAAACGCTCCTTGTACACAGCCTCGGTGTCATCCGGGCGCTGCATGAGGGGCTCTCCGGTGACGTCGTCCTTGCCAGGAACCAGAGGGGCATTGAAAGACGTATTGTACACCCGTCCCGACGGCTCATGGACCCAGCGCCCGGAAATGCGCTCCATGATGACGTTGAACGGGGTCTTGAGCGATACCACCAGGTTGATCGGAATCAGCTTGTCGCAAACCGCCGCCTGAGTGGCAGTCCTTGGGAAACCATCCAGGATGAAAGAGGCCGCGGGGTCTTCGGATGCTTCGGGGGGCCCGTGGCTGTCAAAGGCTCCGGTGGCCGCAACAAAGTCATCCAGATGCTCCTCGTAGAAAGAATCAACCGTGGCGGCGGAAGTTGACAAGGTCATGACCTGCGGTCTCCTGCGGCTGTTGAGAAGCCAGCCGTTCTTGTACATCTCATTAGAGATGAGGCGCATAATCAGATCATCAGCGACAAGCCCGCCCGACTTCATGGTCTTTTCGACCTTGATGCCTGTGAAGAGAAGAACAAGTCAGTATGTGAGTTAAGTTGTATAGAGCAAGCGCAACTGGCAGCGGAAGGATGTGACACATACCGAGAGGGGTCCGTAGCTTGACATTGTTGCGAAGCAGGTCTCCAGTGCTAATGGACTGAATCTGCGGAAAGCGTTGAAGGAGTCGTTCGGACTGCGTTCCTTTTCCAACACCAGGGGCACCGACGAGAATGACGCGGGCAGCTTTGCGGAGTCTCATAGTATACACGAATCAATGAACGATTGGCGCAGGTATACGATTGACGTGGGAGTTACGGGAGGGGGGTTCGAGATGCAAGTACTATGTAGCTTCGAAATTGGCTGGACTGGATGGCGCTGGCCCCAAGCTGTGCGGGGGAAGAGAAACGAGTCGGAATCGCAAGACCCAGACGGGATCGTGGTCGGGGGATATTCAGGAGAAAGCCATGATCTTTACAGGGCGACAGACGTTGGTATATAGCGACGATCTAGGTGGTAGGGAGAAGAATCAGAGGCAAAGAAGGGGAGGAAACGCGAAAGTCGAGGTGGTGAAGGAATGCCGAGAAGGAGGGTGGGGAACAGCGAGCGGACGCAGAACCGCGGTGGTGGGATGCAGGCAAGTGCAGCGACGGGGGTGCTGGCGCGCACGTCGGACGGGGATGCTTGGAAATCGGTCGATTTGACGGATGGGCGTTGAGGGGCCCCGAGGGAGGGACGTGTGTCGACTTTGCGTATGTGGCCGACGGCCGGATCTCTGGGCTTCAGAGACCTCCAAAGATTGGCAGCGTGCTGGCTGGTGCCCAAACAATCCTCCACTGGTGAGCCGTGACTGTGCTAAGCTAAGGTACTGGCCCCTCGGAGTGGGTCAGGATTCACTGCTGTCCCATCCGTACTGGTCACTCCAGTTGCTGTTGGACCCTGAGCTGGTGGTGTTGTTGCCTCGCCGGTCGGTCTCAAGCTCTAAAGTCCGGGGTACGCTAAGGCAGGCAGAGGTATGGGAGTACCTGGTAGGTAACCTCTGTCACAGCGTCTTGTTGCTGGCGATGATGTAGAGATAAGATAGCATGCGGAGGGGTAAGCCTGGTGCCAGCTGGCAGGCAAAAACAAGCATTGGAAGGAGTGAGAGACCTCGAGTGACGAGCTTGTGATTTCCCACCAAAAAATTGTCGAGCGGAGTCCCGGAGAAAAACCAGGGAGCATATTGTTGAGGGCGTCTTACGGTTTGCCAGCAACACCGCCGTCACAGTCAGCACATCACATTCCGATGCCGAACTTGGATTACCCATCACCGATCTGCTCAGTCGCTTGCTTGTTAATCCCTCCCAACAACCCTCTGAATGGGAGAAACCACGGGTGATGTATAAAGCTTGATGATGGCAATATTATGGTCATATATCCCGATGTTTCCTAGGGTTCTTATCGCTATTCTCTTTTTCCGGCTCTGGTTGTGGTTATGTAGGTAGGCGATGAGTGAATGACACGCTTCAAGAGAGCGTGCCAAGTTGCTAGAAGTTGGCTACCGCGCTCGATACTTCCAATCTGCCTCCTCCACCATGCCAGACGGCACTATCTGAGAAGCCCACACAAGTAAGCAAGAGTGACCGGTAACTGTTTACTGGTTGCTGTTCACTAACACCGACACGGGTAAAGGGCACAATTCGCACAGCCCAACAGCCCAGACAATCTAGTCTCTGGTAGTCAAGGCCAAGATGACCCACCGATCTACAGGAGACGGACGTTGTCTTTGGCTGGATATTCGTGCCCATGTGGCGATGGCAACAGACGAACGAATGAGCGGGTGGCAAGCAGCACAAACTGTGGCCGGCCAGACTATCAAGTGGCACGGGCTCGGCTCCGCGTGCCAGGTACGTACCTACACACAAAAGCGGCCTGGCGTGTGCTTTCTCATCAGCAGTGCCAGCGGGCGTTGTCTGGCGTGTTCTGCAAGCGAACCCGAGCAAAGCGAACGACGGAGGCAAAATCCCGTGATCTTGCACGTGCTACTTCTGGTGGTCTCTGGGGCCCCCCGGCCATGGGTGGTTTCGGAAGCCAGGGACAAGTCGTGGTGGCATTCCATTTGATGCGATCGGTTGCCCTCCATTCCAGAAATCTTGAGTTGTTTCGCATCATTGTACATCTTCCACTTCTCCATCATTGTCTTTAGTTGTAGTTTACTGGCAACCTCCAGATAGTCGCCCATGACTGCTGTTCTTCGGTAGTCCTCTCTTTATTTACACCAAAACCACTTGCCCTCCTGACTGCCAGTCAACCGCTGCAGAATGAGCGCCTCCGCCAGTGTCGCTCGTCGGGCGGCGATTGCCAACCCTCTCCTGGGCAACGGTAAGTCCATCCACTGCGTCTGCTTCCTGCCCGCTCACCCATCCCCATGGACTGCCTTCCTATGTGCAGGACACACTTGCAGTTCCTCTCTGACGTCCTCCAGCGCGTGCGCTGTCTAGCCTCGGTGTTTCGTCAGCTGTGCTCGGCCGAAACATAAGACATCTTCCTCGACGAGTAAACGCCCTCGCCCTTCTTGTACCTGTCCGTCATTTGGGTACCGACCATCATAACCACGGCCAGGCCTCTGGTCCGCCGCCGGGCTTCAATGTGGAAGCGGCTAAGAAGCCCCTTCCCAAGGAAAGCACCCCAGCGGCCAAGAGCGACTCAAAGGCTACTGCCGATTCCAAAGATGCGGCTCAGAGCGAGAGCAAGTCTTCCAAGGATGCTGCGGAAGCAGACAAGGCAGAGGCCAACGCATCATTGTCGGAACTAGCAGCTGCGAAGGGAACCTCTGCCGATGCCGAAAAAACCTCCAAGGAAAAGTTGACAGTTTGGCAAAAGGTCAAAAAGGAGGCTCACCACTACTGGGACGGAACGAAACTGCTTGCAACAGAAGTCAAGATCAGTACTCGGCTCGCCCTGAAGATGGCTGCTGGATACGAACTCAGTCGGAGAGAGAACCGACAGTTGCAACGTACCGTCCAGGATCTCGGTCGTCTGGTACCCTTTTCTGTCTTCGTCATTGTCCCTTTCGCCGAGCTGCTGCTCCCAGTGGCTCTCCGACTATTCCCCAACATGCTGCCAAGCACGTACGAGGGTCAGAAGTCAAGGGACGCCAAGGCGACGATCCTCAGAACGACGCGCAAAGAAGTCAGTCAATTCTTGCGGTCCAGCCTTAAAGAGACTGGTCTACCGTTGACTCCAGCGACGACTCAAAGTGAGGCATTTACCACATTCTTCCGGAAACTTCGATCCTCCGGCGAGTCGCCGACTCGTGAGGACATCATCAAGGTCTGCAAGATCTTCAAGGATGACTTGACTCTTGACAACCTCTCCAGGCCCCAATTGGTCTCGATGTGCAGATACATGAACCTCAACACCTTCGGTACCGACAACATGTTGCGGTACCAGGTTCGTCATCGTATGCGCCAAATCAAGCGTGACGACAGACAGATTAGCTACGAGGGCGTTGACAGCCTCAGCGTCGGTGAATTGCAGATGGCGTGCGCTAGCCGCGGTATCCGCACGGCGAGTGTTTCTCCTGCAAGAATGCGCGAGTACCTCCAGCAGTGGCTTGATCTCAGACTCAAGGACGGCGTCCCCTCCACTCTGCTGGTTCTGAGCAACGCATACATGTACGGCCAGGTGGCTGCACACAGCCAGATTGAGGCTCTCGTTGGTGTTCTCTCGTCTATCCCTGACGAGCTGTTCCATGAGATTTCCCTTGAGGTGTCAAGCGCCGAGGGCGCCGCTACCAATAAGCAGCGTCTGGAAGTCCTCAAGGAGCAGCAGGAGCTCATTGACGAGGAGAACAGCCAGAACGAGGAGAACGCGAGCTCTGGTTTTGCCACCCCTCGCGACATTGACAACATCGACGAGAAGGAAGACAGCAACCTGTCTGCGGATGCTCAGGCAGCTACCTCTAACCAGGCCAAAGAGGCCAAGGATGCCGAGCAGGAGATGCTGATCGCCAGAGATGGAAAGGTGCCGGTTGAGAAGGCGGAGAAGAGCGACAAATAGATCGCTCGCAGGTGTAGACTAACACTGTCTTTTTTCTTTGTTAGACGTGTATGGCATAAGGCTGGGTAGCGTGTACTAAAAGAAGAGGGTTCAAACACCCCTAGGGAACATCACAGGGCACTAGAAAGATCCATCTCAGGAAGCAAATAGATTCTCCTACTGTATAATGGTGGCTGTTGCCTACATTCTTATCATGCCCTTTTGCAGGTAAGAACCTTATCAGATAAACCTGTTCAGATGCCTTTAGGCACCATGGTTCGTTTCGCTCATCCGAAAGAAACATCTCTGCCTGGCCTGAGCTTCTACTGCGACCCGAGGCAACCCCCTGGTCTGCTTCTGTCGTCTGTTTCTAGGTTGCGTCTGCTTTGGCTGGCTTCGTCATAGCCCTCCGGAACGAGAGGTCTGACAGTGTTGCCCGGCTGCTAGCGAGCTACCTCATCGATTACCGCTTTCAGGAACGAATGTGGGTACCTTCCATCTCCCCGCTATCGCGCTACCCAACCCCAGCAGGTCAGCTACACTAAGCTCGCAGCGTCACCTCTCGTAGTCCAGCGACGGGCAGCTCTTGCCCATTCCCCACCACTGCCGCCGACGCTTCCTGCACATTGTCCGGCAGACGAGACCGCCAACTCCATCCGTTGCGACGATCCAAGACCAAGCCTCCAAGATCTGATTGTTTGCCAAACACCGCGATTCCAATTCCTGGCCCTGCGTCGTCTGATTTACCCCACGATCTTCCTTCTCACCTTGTCTAACACTAAAAGCGACTATTCCGACTCCCGACAACGACGTAACCCCACGTCCGCCTAGCAGGACGCCATGGCGGTCATGGACCAACACCAAGATGACTTCTCCAATGTGTCCTGGAACACGGACGAGCACACTGCTGCAGAGAGCTCGAGCTCAGTGACGGCCACTGAGTTCGACGAGGATGCCGATAGAAACGGACACCATGCCTACGAGAGCGACGCACCTGGCAATGACGACGATCGAGAAGTTCTGGACTGCACTGTTTCCGAACCTCTCAAGGAAAATGAAGGTTCCAAGGACACCTTTGTTTCATACCTCATCACCACCAATGTAAGGAGATCCGATCTGCGTTGTAGGCCTCGGCTATACAGCTGCGACGGCGGGATCTTCACGCGCTGACACAGATTCTATAGACCACATTCCCCTCTTTCCAAAGATCGCATACCACAGCCCGACGACGGTTTACAGACT